ATATAGGGTGTGCGAGCAATAATATAATAATATATTATGTACAATTTTGTTTTATATTTTTTTTTTATTATTTTTTTTAGGGAAACATTACCGTTGACGTTTATGTAAGCCAGCGATGACAGATGACCCGACTTGGGGCTTCGGACGCTTGACCCCTGTTCACGACGAATTTTCTAGGGTATACATATGTATATAGGTAACTATAATGTGTAGCAATCCGTCAACACAGTGAATGCACGCGCACGTAAATAATATTACGAATATTATAGTATATGTATATAGTGTAACATTCTTTGGAAACATGTATAAATGCAATAACACTAAATATAACACCAGCTTAGCTAGGGTCACGTGCGTATAGGTAATATAAAAATTATTAAAACTGCTTTGAAATAGCTGCTGACTAGATACTGCAGCAGGTGTATTATATTTGGTAAATTATACACCACGGAAAAAAAATTCGATGTAATAGATAATATGATATTAATATGCAAATTAATCGCTTAAATCGATTAAGGTCATATTCGTGTAACGGTAAACATGATATAATATGTTAGTATTTCGTACGTCGAATCACGATGATCGTTTTTCCGCAATAACTATATAGTACTATATATATATAAACATCATCGTAATAATAAATCGGTTGGAGTAATACAGTGGGAAAAGGAAATGTAATAAAATGTTTTTTTTTTCAAACAAAACATAATACATCCCACCAAAATACCGCGGAATGAACGAAACGGGCAAATAATATCCAAGGGATACATACAAACGTATAATATGTCATATTGACCATATAGTATATCGTGTATAGCCGTCCGAGAGTTTCACGTGTTGTTATTTACCGTAGATATAGGTGGAGGAAGTGTTTTTCTACCGGAAATCGAGGGGAAAATATGGCCCCAAGGCCGCCGGCGCCACCGCCGCCACCCTGTCGATACGGATCAATGTTTTAGGCTTTCCCGGCCCGGCCATGTTTTCCCGCGACGCATTTTCCGACCAATCCGCAATAATTTTCCACGCCCTGATGGTCGCCCCACCACCGACGGTGTATATATTATACATACATATATATATATTTTATTCCCACCACCAACGCCGAGCACTATCTTCACGAGTTCTTCTCCTCCACAATATGACTGTGGTGGCGGAGCCGTGGAAATATTACTGCTATACATATTAATATATTATACACATATTTGAAAATAGGTATACGCGTTGCAGGCTTAGCTATGTATCCAGTGTATCGAATATTTGTAACGATATGGAGTACTATATTCTTTAGCCAAGGCCATTTTTTACTGTCAGTCGTCAAGCAGATTATTTTTTTGAAGATTTTCATGCATCTAATCGAAATTTCAAAGAACGATTTCTGAAATATTAAGCTTAATATGCTAAGGAAAATTTCCTTAATAATGTTTTTATTTCAAATATTAAGTAAATGTAATATTTAGTCTTGTATAGGTACTTATATTACATTTGGGGGCCACAATTTATACAAATTATAAGATTTTGATTAATTACTATAATTTTTAGTTCATTAAAGCCATCATACCTTTAAACTCGATGTCATACAAAATAATAAATAGTAGTATATATATTATACAAATGTGTATATAACAACTGGCTGACGCCGTGCACTCTGTCGCCCATTAAAAAATGTCAACACTTATACATCTCAAACTTTATTTAATTCGCTATTTAATATTCAATGTACCAATGGTATTCAAAACGTAAAAAAAAATTGAAAAAAAGAAAAGATTTAGTTTTAAATTGCTGCGGATAGTAATAAGAATTTTTTTCTTGTGGGTGACAACTAACAAATATCTAGCAAAAATAAACAAATGTGCGGTTATTATTTTACAAATTTCTGAAAGACAATATACACGTGTATACATACTGCATATTATTTTAATTTTTGACGATGAGTGATCGAACGATTCGAAAGCGTACATTATTGTATACACCGCGAGCGCGAGCGATTATATGGAACTCATAATAATAATAATGATATATGGTCTAAAGTGGCTTCGTCACGAATGACGGCCGCAGTGCTCTTAAAAACAACAAATCGTCGGTAATTGACCCGTTTGGTGGAGAGTCGTGAAAAAAAATCTATGGGGAGGAAACCGCATGCACTTCATGCATACACACACATTCACACACACACATAATGTCGGGGTAGGTTTAATGGCCCACATCCCAGGAGGACAAACTGCTGCACGAGCGCAACGACCACTCGAACACGCTCTCTTTTCTTCGGTTCTAGCTTTTTTCTTTTTTTTGTTCATGACTAATTATATTTTTTTCACTTGTAATAATTGGCACCGGCGTCGCACCTCTCCTCGACCCCCCTCCCCCTACATCAACATCACAGAACCCCCCGACGTCCAATTATTGCTAAAATACCGCAATTTGTTCGAGTCTTGCCAACGTGGTGGCATTGTATTGCAGCAGAGATGAAATGAGTACCTATATTATATTCTTAACGAATGTAGGAAAAAATATACTTCACCACATGAAATGTGAACAATATGCGTATAAAGCAAACTACTTATACATACATTATATTATATTTCTCACAACACATATACGAGTACATATGTGTAAAATATAAGGGTTGACGGCGGGGTGTCCCATCGTTCGGGGACATTTCTAGGTTCATTTCTTATAAAAGAAAACATTTTGTTTATCGTTTTTATTAGTATATTTTTATTCGCTGTTTGGCCAACAACAAAACACAGACAGTAGGTACTGCAAAAGGTGTGTGGCTCATAAGTCTGAAAGAATTTATTCAGTAGTAAATGTATTCATTATCGTTTTACTGAATTATTGACAGTAAAGAGTTAATTCTATTCACTTAAACATCGGTGTTATTGAGTATTCTGTCAAACTGAATCATCTGTTCTCGCTTATTTGAAATCGATTCAATTAAAAGGTACCAACTAATTCAAACGAAGACGGTCGTTAAGATGAAAATCATAATAAGACTAATGTGCTAGAATAGACTAAATGTGTGTATATGCAGGTTAAGTCTATTGAATATATTATTATCTAAATTGATTATTTCTCAAGATTATATTATATGAAAATCTACCATTATTCTACAATTACATCTTGGGGGCTTGAATGGATCGTCACTATGTCACTGAATAAAACATCGTAATATACTAATATATGACACTATAATATTAACATATTTTTACTCGGGTATAACGTAAAGCTAAAGTAAAGGTATAAAGTAAAATAATGTTATAAATAGATAAATGGGTAAAAAAACTGTATATTATCTACCACGTTATAGCGAACTTTTCTGCACAGCTGTCTTACAGGGCCACTTGAAAACGCACAATATTACATGTAGTTTATTATATATGAAACTGTGCATTATACCTATTATGATGCTCATCGTCAAGACGGTTGTTGCGATCGCACAACAATATATGTACAATAATGGTCGGAAGGAAAGAAAAAACTTATGTACAATACCTATAATACCTGCAAGTAATACATATACATCATGCGTATAAACACATAACAACACGACGGAATAATAATAATGATAGCTGTGCCGAGGACCCGTATAAGTGGCACTCGACAAAAATGTACATTCATCGGCGAGTGCAGCGCTTACAAGAGACCGGATGATCGAGGCACATACGTCGGCATATATATTATATATAGGTACTATAGATCCGAGCCGGCACACAACAGAGCAAAAGATTCCTTTTCTATCGTTTTTTTCTACTTTCGTATTAAAAAGTAATTCCGCAATATCTACCCCGCGTATATATATAGGTACGATGCGCTGCACAGAGGCAAAAGATTTATATATATTTATATACATTGTTTGGAATTGAGTGCGACGGTCCGTGAAAACTGGTAACAAAAGTGTACATGTGCGTGTTTTGGATAGGGACGAAAAGGAGAAAACATATTTTACGTTTTATTATTATTATTATTATTATTATTCTCGTCTTTTTTTTCTGTCCAAAAGAAGTATCTTTTTCCTATACGAAACGGGAGGAGGGGGCGTTTTATTGACTGAATCGATTTGCCTATATACATTATAGTCGACCCTTCGACAAAAATAATAATACTCGTTTTGGTATTGTAAAAACGTCTAAAGGTATCTACCTACATTATTATAATATTAAATATCCAAGCGCCGCGTGTATATACAATAAATAAAATACAATACATCGTGAGTATGTATGCGTACGAATCAATCTTTTTGTATACTTATTAACACTTATTAACAACAATTATTCACTATATATTGTATTATCTATTTATATCATTGATCAGTTTATGATTTACGTTAATTTTCGTATGTTTTGATTTCGTTTTCGATTTCGTAAGCACTTAAAATTCGCAACGCATTTCCGAATACATTCCAACGGGATGCCGTGCACCCGTGCAGCAATGGTATTATAGAGGTCTGAGTAGTAATAATCAACCATTAACACGGCTCGATGCACTTGTATATTATGGTGATTTTAAAAAATAATTTAAATTCCTAATTATCGTCGTGGATCATGGGGAAACGGTTTTTAATTATTTTTTTTTTCAATTTGAATCAGTAAAATAAATGACTTATAGATTTAAACAGTACAGAGACGTTATTTCTATAAATATTTATAAGTTGATAATAAAAGTTTAATCGGAGTACCAAAATCGAGGGAAAACGCGCTGAAATTCCAAATCGTATTAATTCGTATTAATCGTTAAATTTACCCGATTTCCTAATATATTAATAATCAGATACAATATTAATAATTATAAATTATAATAATATACCTATCATAAGTCTGACGCGAGCAATGCTGAAACGGTGTCGAATTTGAGGATTTCTCTTAACTATATTATTATTAATACAATTTATAGTCATTGCAATGATACTAAAATATCATATTTACGTATGTATATCGTTAAATAACAGCCAATTACAAGTGTTAATATAACATGTTTGTATATATATAGGTATAGGTACTCACGCTCGGTATGTTGTCGTTGCTACACACCCCTTCGGACAGCAACCGGTCCCTGATCTCCCAAGCGAAGATGGACGGACACTCGCGCTTGTAGTCGGCGATTTTGTTCACAACGCCATTGGTGGCAACCCGCGGCTTCGAGCCGCCAATGGCACGCGGCTTGATTGAACCGGTTTCGTAATACCTGCAGCGACGAACCAAACGAGATATTATGAAGTTAAGCTTTATTACACTTAAATACACGTTCTGTATTGTAGATGACAATTTGATGTATTATATATTTAGGTAATTATCTCATCGTTGTCGAGGCAGAGGCGTCGAAGTAATCATAAACATATATGACAGAAACCGAATATCAACATTTACCGCCCACTCATTTCCGTATAGGTAGGTACATTTCACACCAGTAACAATTTAGATACTGCATGTTCAGAACTATACACAACTATATGCGATTAGACTACCGAGGTAATTTATAACAATCCTCGGGTATATTATGAATCAACTTAGGAAATATCAAATGTCTGTGCCCATACGTACAATACACACTAATAACTATATTTGTGTTGTTTCTGTCTTGCAAATAGGCACGTACGACATATCAAATTTGTGTTCAGCAGTTCTAATTTTGCGTAGTAAGCCTCAATAATTAAGTGATTTAATCTTAAAAGTAAGAACATTATTTATGTTTTCTCCTGGGTTTATACAATATTCTAACCATGCAGTTTCATTAAACTTATTATCTATAATGCATTTAGCTCCAAATACTAGGGACGAGTAGTCAATAGATACTTATTTACTACCCTCTCCTCCCCCCCCCATAGAGCGCCCCCAGTGAGTCAAAATGTCAAATCAAAATTAAAACAATAACCAATAAATGTTTGCATTGCCGTTGCCTATCCATAGCATTATCTAATCTATTTGGCATAATTAATATCAATGAACTAGAGTTGAATTTTTGAAACTAATACTCTACTAACTAATAATTAATTATTTTTAGTCTGAGACTTAGTGCTCACCGGCCGAGTATTTTGGATACGCATCCGTTGGAGACCTGCAGTATGCGGGATATGTCACACGGCCTGGCACCTGAGTGCGCAAGCTCGACGATTTTCTGTCTCGTCGAATCTGGCAACGGGCGACCATTGACGTACACTCCACCCAGCTGGTTGATACCACTATGACCGGCCGCCGAACAACCGAACAGAGCCGCTGAGCTCTGGACCATCGCCGCGGCCGCCGCTGTCATGTTGCAGTGGTCCGAATCATCTGAAAAGGAAATGAACAATAATATTATAAACTTTATTATACACATAGCGTTTGGATGAGTTATAATATTTAATGAGTACACTTTGTGAGGTATTAATATGCAATATGCACCGTGGTTATATGGATGAAAGTCGATAGACTATTATTTGGGCTGAAAAAAAATGTTGTGACACGAATTTCTGATCGGCCCGTACCTATATTGCTATGTATAACAAAATATTGGCAATACATATATATGATCGTGATATGATATATTATGCGGAATATACATGCAGAATTTATTATCGACAAAAAGCGTTTCTAAGAGTGAGTGAGTGAGAGAGGACCACACATGCAAAACATAACATAACGTCATCCCCTCCGATGCGTGCTTATCCGACCATGGCGACGAAAATATTACGCGTGTATTATATTATATGTATAATAATAATATTATATATATATTATATTATATTATGTGTGTATATATATATGCGGGCCGTGGGTATTTTCTGATACGGTAGCGGTTTTTATTGTTCGGAGAGAAGTAGGGAAGCAAATTGGATCTGTCACTCAAGTAAAGAGGAGCGGCGGTGGCGGCGGTGGAGGTGGAAAAAAACACACACACACTCTGCGCACACCCGGTGACAGCACCGACTGCAAGCATTCCCACACACCATCGTAAGCTCACCGCGGGGATATTAATTAATATTATATATATATGAGTGTGCGTGTGTATGCAGCGAGAGGAGAGATTTAGGCGTCATTGTTCCCGTTTAAATTCCATACAGAAATTGTAAAATCGTAACTCTGCAGCGGTTTCATTTTTCTGAGAATATATTTTACTTTCAAACAATATTGAATCGTTCCGATGGTGTTTGGTCGGTACGTTTTTTCCCCAAATAAAGCTGGAATATACTGTGCGCAAGTGCTTTATACTGTTACGGATAAAATATCAAATGTTCCTGATAATAAAGACGAGCTCCGTCTACAAAACCGTTCTTTTTAAGGTAAATACAGAAATACCGGACTAGACAGATTATTAATCGAACCCGCGGCGCGTCTATACAAATCAGTCGAATAAGTATATAATATGCACTTTAGATCCTTGTAATAATCACAATAATACGATTATTAAATTCTCGTTTTTAAATTATTATTACTCGCTGAAACGTGTAAAATACATTTCTAACAGAATACAAATATTATTATAATTACATTTGGTCGCCGCCGACGTTTGGGCGCTAACCAAACGAAACAGGTTTTCGTTCGAGACGGATCTTCGAGCGGCGAGTCGATCGTAAACAACGTGTCTCTAAAAACGTATGACGTATTATAGTAATAATAGTATATTATTATGGAAGTTTCACTGTATAATTATATCGTTACACGCTCGATCCATCAAAATCAAAGTAAGAATCTACTGCAGTGTATCATATAGTGTACTCGCGCGTCGAAAAATCTCACTGCAAACGCGTTGCACTTATTCGTTTACATAATATGGTTGTGGTAATCTGTAGAATTGTATATATTGAATACATAGAAAATATAAATAAGATTCAGCGGCAGTAACTCGTGAGTTGTTATAGGACCGTGCGAAGCATCCAATAACGGCGGAGAGAATTTCATTTTTCATGAAGACGAAGGTAAAATATAAATATTACTTAATACTATGTAGCAGTAAGTTAAAAATATATTTTTTGTAACATTCGCAGAGGGTGCGAGAGCGTGTACGAAAACATTGCGAGGGCCCGAAAATCGTCTTAAAGGATTGCGTACACCGCAGGGAAGAGTGGCGAGAGTTGAGCTGAAGAGGTTTCTTTCACGATGGGTGCCCGCCGGCATCAATGCACCTACCTATATATATATGATGTTCTATATATTTAATATTATATATATCGTATTTACGCGTGTGCGCTTTTGTCACTTGTTACGCGCGTTGTTGGCAACACACGGTGGACCGAATTCACCCTTTTACTAGCAATAAAGTAATAATATACAATAATATATGCTCGACGCGTATGGTGTTTTTCTTACACATATATTTGTATGTATACGTATGTGTATAGGCTGTTTACACGCCCAAACACATTTCGAAAACGGTTTTTATTGCTTTTGAATTTAATTTCAAACACTACACACACGCACACTGCACTGCGGCGTCTCTCTCTCTCTCTCTCTCTCTCGTTTTCTCGAGTGTTGCGAATTATTGGCCGTCGACGACGAGCTGACAAGAGCGGTAGCGTATGTCGTGTCGTCGCTACGAGAGCCACTTGAACCGCAGCGGGTGAAAGTTCCTATTACGTAAAAATCCTATTAAGGCAGCCGTAGTCGCGACGGATTTATTATAAATCGATAAATAACAATATTTCTGAGTCGAGTGGTTGCACGCAGTCGTACATATGCATATGTATACGACTATAGTATTCGTTTCGTTAATCGATAAAATATATTGTGCACTTTGAAGTTTGAACGGAACAACGAGGGCGAAATAACATATCCTACTTTGGAAACGAAATAACATATCTAACAGTTTGTTATATATTTTAATTTATATATATTTAATATTTAATATATTTACTATTTTATTATTTTATTATTGTATATATTTCGTAATGTTAATTTAATTTTTTTTTCCGTTCGATTCAACAGAGCGATTTGTAACGGAACCGTGTTCGAACGTTACTCGACCGCACTGAAATATTGGGTATTTTCTATACAATCGAACGGAGTAAAAGAGTAAACATTTTCTCGTGGGCCACTTTACAGCTGTGTATACGACAGTGGATTTGTATTATATATTCAAAAACGGCGTACGAAGTATATGGGGTCGGTATTATATTTTTTTTATACCCGCCACCATGGTGGTGTATATTTGTCCTCGGCGCTATTGTTCGCGAGCGCGACCCAAATCCCGATATATTATATTGTATGTGTATAATATGGGTATATCAATTCAAAAACTGTCGTCTTAAGCGGTTTTTATTTTGAAAACCTGCGAGTAGAATTTAATGGTATATACCTATAATATATATACATATATGTTTATGTTTCCATTTTCCAATGTCTAATACACGCACAAAGGACGTCGTTTCAATATCGTTTTACGAGTGTCGTATACTCGTATCATGTACTATAAGTACGAATCGACATATTATATATAGGTAGGTCCCTAAGCCGTCCTGTGATAATCGGGGGCCATCGTCACCACCATCGATTTGCACGTTGTTTATATGTATAGGTATGGTATATAATATCTACCCCGTGTTTTCTACACATTTGATGTCAGTTTGTAAAGTATTATTATTTATTACTGCATATACTAAAATAAAAATGCATCGAGACCGGGTTTCATCTCAAAAGTACTAAATGTCTTAAGCTTGAAAGGAAATTATTCCATTACAATATTTAACTACTCTGTACATATTTATAAGCTAAATTCATAAAACATAAATAAAAGTATATGAAATAATATTATAGCATGTACATATTACATAATATTAAAATCATCATCTCTCAAGAAATGTAATTCTAAAAAATAGCTCTCTGTCAAATTATAATATACATAGATGTTTTTCTTTTTATAGTCATTATATTATATGTTTAACAGATTCAACATTTCCTACTCTGTACAAACAGTTTTTTCGTTTTTCATATTCTTCTTCGCGTATATATCAAGGAAGTTCTGCAAAATCGTCGCACTATATATACAATTTATCGCATTATATTACATTCGAAATTTCAAAACCACATAAAACAATCTGAGAGAGAGATCGCGGTATGTGTGTGGAAAAAGCGCGTACATTGTACTATAATACATATCACGTTAACCGTTTGGAGGGGAGGCGGGGAACTCGCTTGTGCGTATATGTCGTCCGGCCGTTTCGGCTCTGTGCCAGCCCGCGGCGGGAAAACGTTTTTCCGGCGGCACGTCCGGCACCCCTCGTCGCAGCCCCCGATCCCACCACGGACGCATAATACACCGGCTGCGGCGACCGGAAGCGCACCGAGTCGCGCGGGATACGCCGCCGCGCGTCACGCCGCTCAGTCCGTCGCCACGGCAACGTGCGCAAAATAAAATGTATTATTTATTATATCTATATATATGAGCAGTGTGCCGTGCGCACGCGCGCTTTACCGTAAATTTAACGACCCAACACCTCCGCCGAGAACGCGAGTTTTTATCCTGTCGTCGTGCCGGCGGCAGTTATGATGGAGTTTACATTAAAACGTAGCGAACAGCCGACGTGTCGATGTCGGGTATATACTGCCACAGTAGCAGCACCAAAAACTTTAATTCAAAGAAGGTGGGTAAATAGATACCGCCTACATCGTTTTCGTTCTAGTTAGGTACAAGAAATATGCATAGTAGGTTCAAATAATAAATAGAATCGAAGCAGTCTTACAAGAAATTCCTCTATACTGAAGCAAAACCTATAGAATTGTAAAACAGAAGAACTTATTTTTTAAAACAAAAGAAGAGAGAGAAAAATAATAATATTAATGATTTATTATACCAAGAAAATCAAAACGGGTCATACATTAAAATAATGTAAAAAGTAGATAATACAGTAAAACAAATAATAACAATAATAGCAATAATATATTAAATATTTTTACAAGAGCAATTTAGTACATATACACAATAAATTAATAGTCGATTAGAATTTGGTTTTAGTTTTTTTATTTTGTATTAAAGATTAAGTACGTTAATTGTAAACTAGAGTAACTACATTTATATCATATATTGCGTAGGTGTAATCATTCTCTAGTATCGATTTCATACTCTTTATAGAAGTGATATATATATACATAATATAGGCTTTCATTAATTCCACAAGGCTTTCTATTTTCTCAGTAATATAGTTAGGCAAGAAATGGAAATATCTGTTTTCACGAGGGTTAATTTATTAAAAGGTTCCGCTATTTTATTTAAATACAATGACCCCCGGAACATTATTGTTACTGTTTTATTTTCTGTTTTTATTGCATTTGAATGTACTTTTTTGCTGATTCATATTAAATTATTTACTCTTTGTAATATTTTGAATGTCTAACAAATCTGCTGTATAGACAAAGGAAAACTCTAATTGAAAAGAAATATTTATAATTATAATTATATACATTTTAATCTAGTTATCTAATATTAATTTTATATTCAATTTGGAACAACAACTGTTAAAATCTACTATTTGGTAAAATCTTATTAGATTATATGAATATACAAAATGTCATGATTTATGAAATACAATTTTGTAGATATAAATGATAATAGGCATACAAGTATATATCAAAGATACATATTATATAAACTATAAATGTATATAGTTTATAAATAAAGTACAAATAATTTAATTATTCACTACAGATGAAAGCTATAGTAGAGTTCAATTTGAAGTTCATAACAATAATAATAAGTTGTGTTGAAAGAACTGAAACCTTTTAGGGACTTGATATGAAATTTTAAGATTGGCAATATTTTATCACAGACCTTTGACCCAAGGTGGTGTCAATCAGTACAAAATACATGCCATGTAATGCTGATTTATTTTACTGATGATGTGCTACATAATACAATGTTTTATAACTAAAGCGGTATAATATGACGTTGTATTAATGTTGCTATATAATTTAGAGAATCTTTCGATGTATGTATAATGTATATAGTAAATTGTGCCAAATATATAGAAAGTACAGTGTTTGCATCCTCGTCTGGGATTATTATACTATAATCGTGTTCGATAATCTGACAACTTGTGCGATGTCAAAGACAGCGTGATCGTACAAAGGGATCGGTGGCTACATCGACATGTTTTGATTACTGATTATTATTTGATCAGCCAAACTTTCCAAAGTTCCGGAAAATGCAACATGAAAGCATCAGTATAGTAGGTACTTGATACCTATATATTGTAATCTCGTCAGTTGTGAAGCGAACATTATATTGTATATACCTAGTCTTTGGGCTTAAAGTTTTTGCCCAGTCACCAGAGTCGATACGACAAGGTAACAACGTTGATTTCGTATAACACTTAAGCGCCGTAATTAAGTCGTAAATCGTATACGAGACAAAAGTATTGGATGACCTCGCAATGATTACGATCAGTTTAGAAAATGTGTACACGCGTGGATGGGCCGTGCTGAAGCCGAAAAATACGCCTATTGTGTTAAGGTTAACCCTTCGCGTGATAAACAAAAAAATAAGAGAGAAAAAATCGAACAAGAGATGTAGTTCCGACAGGGCTCAATAGTATATGGTTATTATATATAAAGGCCGAAAACGCGGTGCGGTTACGCCATCATTGTTCTGCAGGTGTGATAATCGGAGATGGAAAAATCTACGCTGCAAGCCCCTCCGAAAGCCTCTTATATTATTATACGCCTACGCGCGCGCCACACACACCTGTCTGTGGGGAATCCTGCGGGCGATAGACATATAGGGGGAACAGATTACCCGCGATCGATTAAATTCCCAGAGATGCCTTGACCCATATATATATATATATGTGTGTAGGTGGCTGCATACAAACTGAGTCCCAATAAAACCTTTAAAAACAAATTGAGTACCGGGTTGATTTTAAGTGGGGATATACCTACTAATTGAGTTTTATGAAATTTTAAATGTAATGCTAATAAAGTCCATGTCTTAATAATAACTGATTCCCGCAAAACTAAAAATAAAAAACATCTCCCTTCCAATGTTTAACAGACTTAGGAGTTTGAAAAGTCTGTAACATAAAATTCTACAGGTATTTTTAAAATTGTAAATTTTGAAGTACTATTATTAGTTATTACTACTTACCTATTTTATAATAAAATAATCTATGGGTATAAATTGAACATTTTCAAATCGTGTTTTTTAAGTCATAAAAATGATAAATGATATGAACGATGTCAAGTAGTCATCTTCATGTACGTATATTATTATGGTTGATTTTATGTTTTACTCAAAATAATCTTCGGACTCAATTAGTATATTTTGTGTTTTCCAACCGAGGACTCAATTCGTATGTTTTCCATTTATACCCGGGAGTCAGGACTCAATTAGTATATTATTTTTTTCCCATTCGGGTATTGGGACTCAACTAGTATACAGCTATGTAAGACGTAGGTACATAATATCGTATGCGTTATTGAAATCGAGTTACACGGTGAATATAATAAAGGTACTTCCGCCCTTTGTGTCGTTTTCGACGACACTCTTAAAGTCATTCACATCGCGCTGAAACGAAGTGCTGAGGTCGGACCCATACTGTGCGCGTGTGGTCTATATATTGTTATTTTGTTGTAAATAGTGGCAATTTACGAGATATATATTTTTACTTTTACATTTTAGATAATATGTTTGACATTGTTGTCATAGTGTAAAGGTATTTGATATTGTACCACAGTGGACGAGCAGGCACTTACATATAATATAATCTATGGGTTTCCATAAAAGTATTGACTACCAACCACAGTAACAAGAAAACAAATAAAATAGTACATGATCGCATTATAATAGCAGATGACCAGAAAACACAAATATCAAGTCTGTAGAAGTTAGAAACCAATTTTGTATTCTTACTAAGTCTTTAAAAATATTTGAATAATTTGTCAAATGTCAAATGTCAATATCTGCGCGAATATGCGAATGGAATATTTATATTTTAATATACTTTATATCCTATGTACGGCATACTGTCAGGGGCATTGGAAAATTGACAGTTCTTAAAGAACAAACAACTCATTTGAGTTTTTTTTTTATTAAACTGAAAACAAAGATGGAATTTTTTTAAATTTGGAGACATTATACGGTGTAATCAAATGATCGAACCCACGACATGGAGTGATTTTCAATTTTGATGACAATTGTGCGTCCGCCGCTCTGGAGTCAAATGACAAATGAAGTTCTATATATAACCTAATATTTTATAGTAACGACAAGGGATCCGTTTCGTTGTCGCAGTCTTGGTCGAAGAGCGAGTGGCGGCAGTGGTGACGGTTCGTGTAGAGGAAACCGGACTGCGGGGCGGCGTGTTTGTATACGCTTAGACAGAGATATAGACGCGAGTAGACGAAGACGCACTGCTTTTACATGTTTTTTGTACTTATGTATATGCGCGGAAGGTTATTAAGATATTTTCATTTTATAATTCAATATTTTTTTTACCTGCAGTAATAAGTATAACATGTACCTAAGTAAGGTGTGTATACATATATATTTATAATACCCATACCTACACACATGTAAGGCGGGAACGGTAAAAGAAAAAAAAATAACGCTGAAACACGATACCTAAATGAGCCCCGACAAATATCTCATAATATTATACAACCGCACACGGCCCGGTCCCTTTCGTGTACTCAGTGTCACATGTCAACTGATTAAAACTGGTTTGTATTCCTCCTTATTTTCCCCTTCTTTATCAAATCTCGTCATTAAAAGCGTCATACCGTATAGAATCTATCTGTCGCTGGTATTAAACGGGAGAAAAAAAAGGACGAAGATAGTTGATGGATAAAGAAAAAATAAACAACGACGATTTAAAGATTTTGTAAAAACACAACGATTGAAAATCGTTCTGAAATACTTGATGTCCATTAATCATGCCGCAAAGATCTGTTGGATGATTTTATTTTATTTTTTCTGTGCGCCTCCGTCAGTGCGTCGACGTGTCGGCAGGACATGCTCAACCGGAATAGTTGGCAATGGTATTGATATAATACATTTATATGTATATTATATATTATATTAAGTATTTGAATAAAAACGAGAAATAATTGAACACTAAGTATTCACAATTCACAACTACCTAATCTATATTCGATTCTATCAACCATCAACACACACGTTGTTTTAAATTACAAGATGAATTAATTTTAATTAGTGTCTATCGCTCATGAAAGATGTATATTTTAAACTCTAAACTATGTCCTAATTTACAAGTATCTAAATGTAGGTATAGTATTTACAATTAATTTTTGGATTTTTTATATTAAACACCGACTATCGTTATTAATACCAGTAACATATATTATAGAGTTTTGAGAATCCTTAATTTAATTTAATGTTATTTTACTATTTTAGACTCCACTTACAAAATACAAATGGTATATTTAAATTTAAAAGTTGTAAATCTCGTTCCTTTTAAATGCATAATATTATCGAAACTTGACAACGATCGAAAGTTCATTTAAGTCTCATTTTGTTTCGCCAGTCATGAAAATGTTAAGAACCTCAACCGACTAAAATTGAAATTCGATTGTGTGTAAGAATATATTTTATATTCTTGTAAGTACATCTTTTTCATATTAATTTATTATAATGTCTTATAGGTACAGTTTTTTTTAATAGCTAAAATATTGTGTAACATCATTCAAATCTTACCTTTGTGAGGCATCTTCCAAAATGGTTCGTTTTCTCTGCAAGGGAAAGGCCCGAGCCCCCCCACCCCAGCTCCAAGCAACGTCTTGACGGACCCCCACGTCCCTCCTCCGTAAAGACCCAACACCTGAAATATAAATAAGAATTAATATACAACTTTCAGTACGTAAGTTAAATAAAAGTCATACTTGTTTAGTATTATACATTAATAATTAATAATTAATATTTATTAATATAACATTAGAAAAAGTACATATTTTAGAAAAGTTCACACATTTTCTATTTATTTTGTTTTTCTCCCCTTCACGGATGACTCATCTAGATCCCGTAGTGCCCATTAAAATACCGTAAGATTACGCGGTGGAAGCCATAAATCGCGTGTCCGGCCTGCGAATAGCAAAGGGTCCATTATTTTACATTGGGCCAAATAACGTACGCTGCTAATATAATGTAAGTGAACGTTTACACGCGACCAAACACCACGACATATCACAGGCCCGTACATTCAACGGAGGGGGACCACACGCATACTGTGTAAGTCACTTATCGGAAATGGAAAGCTACTTTGGACGAACCTCGAGTTCATCGGACCATTTCAATTTATAGAATAAATCACAACAGCTGTCTGTAGGGACAGCGCTAGCTTAATAATATTATTGTCGAATTGGGGGAATCGTCGATTGACGAAAGGTAGACAACTAGTTAGCGCCACCCCGAAAACATATTATATAGGTACGCACTACACACGTATATATATAATATATTACATTATATACCAACGATAATAATGTACACCACGAGATTCGGAGAAACGGATAATAATACCTCGAGTTTATTTTATTCAACCCTCTAAACACGACCGAGCTGTCGTCTGCGGTCGATCGTCTATTGTGCGAGAGGGTTTATTTACGTTGGAATATTATATTGGCAAGTGTCAAAGAAAAGTATAAATAAAAATAAACGTATTTGAGTCATTAAAAGGTTAAATGGCAAAAATAAGATGAAAAGAATTTCGTCTCTTTTTCACGATCGGTCGTCTCGACTCTCAGTATACATGGCTTACGAATGGATAATAATATTATTATTATTCTACCTATATTAAATTCGTGGGTATGGATATACGATATATCTACAGGTAAAGCCAGTACAGGTAGTGGTTGATGACAGTTAAAGATAGTTGTTGAAGTATAATATAATGTATAAACATGGCTATACAATTTGGAGTACTATTGTCTACCGAAAACGATACGCAGTTCATAAAATGTAGCTGAAAACCAAAAAAATTATGATAGGTTCACTGTTGAATTCCGAAATTACCAGAAACGAAAATATAATCTTTACCGGGATCTTTAATTGAACGAATATAATCGATATTTTATTTTTGGCCCGACAGCAATAGAATAATAATAATAAATAGGTACCTAAAATACCTATAATAACATGAGCTGTAGATTTCTATATTTTATCATGACCTTAGGTATATTATACATATTGCCAATAGAATACAGACTATAAAAGTATCCCAATCGTCAAATATAATAATAATAATATAACGAAAATATACAACGAACTTCAAAAAAAGAAAGAAAAAAAGTCGCAGGTCATTATTCCTTTTCCCGATTAATTTAGTGGATTGCAGCAGCTACGCGCATAAAATGTATACGTTTTTTTTTACCATACTTAAAATCAGAAACTCGACCGAATTCATCTTTGAACGTGGCGTATAATAATCAAAACATAATACCTATACCACCCGTACTTCCGTGATATATATATATATTATATGTATTACATACAAAGCGGCGTCAAAAAGCGTGTGTGCACGTACACGCGACGCACATGCGACGGCAAAGCAAGTGGGCACTTGACTCGGCCCTCTGTATAATATAATATAATACACAAACTCGTACACGAGTAAATAATATACGTATAGTTGGTGCAAAAACCGTCGGAGATCGTTTAAATGCACGTTGCATACGTTATGGCAAAAAAAATAAAAACCACATATTATATATATATTTTTTTTTTTTTTGATCGGTCACAGATTTCACCACTATCCCCACCGTAAACTATATGTATTATGTATATATAAGAACGTCGCACGTATTATAATAATATTATACATAATCGTATGTATACGGCTATACACATTATATAGGCACGCGGGCGTGACGGCGGCGGCGGAGGACAAACTCTCATTAGCGACTTCAAAAGAAAACGACTTACACGACAGGATTTGCTATGTATGCGTGCTCGTATATTATTGTATAATAGCATGTATATATAATATATATACACTTGAGCCACCGCCGACGTCGGTTTTTTGGATCGGGCGGCGGGTGGAACGATGAAAAATATAATTGCACTGTGCCGCAATAATGTATTCGTTAAGGGGGTATTTTTTTCATTTCATTTTTTACTATCCCCGCAAAAAATACGAAAATATGTCGCAGCAAAGGAAACGCGCGCAATAATCCCTTTGAACTGTGTTATTTTTTTGTACGCGATTTACGCACTAATTACCCGCAACCGCGGTTTTGAATCGTGTTTTGATTACGACCGACACGCGACTTCACTGTGAATAACGATTTGCAGGCTGCTGAATATTATGTTTATGTATAATATGATGTATATATAAGAGAGCCAACAGATAGAGTGAGGGATGAGGGTGCAGCACATGCGAATGCACTTCTAAAAGTCTGCCATGGCCTTTATATTTACCAGTTTAGGGTGTATAACATATTATACGTACCTATTCCTATATACTGTTGGCTTTTTAAATATAATCGTTTGTTCGTATTATACTATTATAATATAATATTATGTAAAATAATACGTCTAATATGTATAGAAGGTTATCATACCACTTGTTATTAAGTAAATTATCCCAAAGAGAACATGCGCATGCGACTAGCAAACTAAAATTGTCTTTGAATCGATCTTAGAAAATTAACATAATAATTATTTTAAAACGTGGTTCTTTGTACCAACAACATAAATATAAAGCATATAAACAATACATTAGGAAGATTTAGTTTAAATATAATTTACTATGTTATAGGTATAATTTGCAGGCTGAGTTTTAATTCTGTTTGTTAAATTTTTAATTTAAAATGTAGTATTAACCTAAGCCATAATATCGTTGAAATCAATATAATTGCAAAATATTGGTACATTAATTTATACAATATATAAATTAACCAACTACTAATAAATTAACCATTAAGATATTATTTTTCATCATCAAACATTAATAATAATTTTTATAGGTATATGTAGGTAATAATTATAAGACTAAGAAATAACGAGTAAAAATCATCAAAATTGTATGTATTGTATTATAAAATTAATAAATAATAAAACCATAATTTATTTTTACTTTTAAGATATTATTATATATTATGAAAATATTACTTTTGGAGCAGCTTCCAGTTGAGTGAAATGTTTTTCTGGCATTTTCTGGTTTTAGCTTCAACAAAAATAACAAATAACATTTGCACGTGAGTTAATCGTTGGTATAATGAATTTCGATACATCAAAAAACATCATTATAATGGGAATGACTGCAGTTGAAGAGATAACATTTTGTATAAGCTTTCAACGAGATGGTATTTTTTTATAGAGAAAATTACGTTGTATAGGGTCATTCATCAATTCATCATGCATATACTCTATACTCACTACCATTTTACCCTTTAATAATGAATTTACTAAAATTCTTAATATTTGAATTTATAGTTATACCTAAAGACCATATTTTCACAATCTTAGATTTTTTAATTTATCCAAGAAGGTACCCAATGGCGATACCAACTTCTTTTTCTTCAAATGGAAGCCACTTTTTTTACTGTAAATTATTAAGCAAATTATATAAGGTTTTTTTTAAAGGTCTGTGTATAAGATTTGTTATTATAAAGTCTAGTATAAGAAAAATGTCTATATTTTTCTTTACTTTTATTATTTGTATTAACTTTTATTTAATTATGTAGTTTAATTAATCATATTTGTTCACTGTAACTCCCTACACCACCACAGGCTTAGCTTAAAGATGTAAATTATTTTTATTATTTTCTTTAATACTTTGTGTAATTTTGTTTTGTTTTAATCAAAAAATACATTTTCTTAAAAAGAAAATAATATAGTTAAATCAACTACTATTCTTGGTTGGTACATAATATATTTTAATAAATCAGACACTACTCGTTCAAATTTTATCTAGATATACAAAAAATTTCCAAATAAACAATTACTTAACAATTAAGAATAAAAAACGTTGGTTTCCATTTGAAAAAGAAATAAGTTTGTGATTTGTATTGTCATTGGACACTCCTTAAAAGCTAAACAAGAATGTTATGAGTTTATTCATATTTTAGAATTTGGATGTATTCATTATCAAAGAAAATATGGTGATGACGAAGCTTGGTGAATAGTGGATCTCCCTATATTATATCTGCATGTGCAGGTAAAATTGTTATACATAGACGTTTTCAAAAAGATTTTCTGACCCATCCGAAAATACAAAGGTATTATACTTTCGTATCACGGTTGTATACGCAATATCAAAGTAATTTTTTAGTTCACATTTGAATATTTTCCTAATCATTAATTTCGCGTCTTTGTGTTCATTGGTAATATTTTATACAGAGACAGGTATGTTGTATGTTTCATGCAATCGAAATATTGTATTTTTTTTTTTAGTTAAATAAAAGGTATAGTAAATATACCTAATATGGTAGGAAGTGGCGTAATATAATACGCGAGTAGGATGTACAAGTGTACAACTGTCGAATGAAATTTATCGAGGATGAATTTAATTTAATAATATTGATTCGCACACGACACAATTATTTTACTATAAACTTAAATAATACATTCTTTACGGCTCCGCCCCCTAGCCGAAATGCCCCATCCCCCTCCGATTTATATTGTCGCGATGCCCCGTCTACCACCGTCGGCAGCTTTTTGTCAAGCACCGCGAGCTAACATCACGTATAATATGCACACACACATACCCACCCTCGTGGTCTTTTTTTATTGTTCGTCTTCCTATGTATACTTTTTTTTATGATGACTATTGTCCGCGTGCATATATATGCGTATAGCGTGGCCATGACGGTCCCCGCAGTATTTACCTACCATTGCAACGCGGGGCCCGCGACAATAGGACCCTGTAGCAGCAGCACCAGAGCACGGGGGCAGATGGTGTGTCGGATGGTTTTCTAATTCAGAAAACCGCTAGTGGAAAAAAAACGGTTCTTTTATAATAATAATAATAATATCATCGTCGTCGTCGTCGTCGTAATATTATTATATATTGTTCCCCCCTGCGGTGTGCGTGTGTGTCGTAAGAATAGAAAACATGCCCGGCTAATATTTATACTGAGCACGCCGCATAATTCGGTTAAATGTATCTATACACGTAAGTCTAACGAGGGGGCGCGAACCGCGGGGAGGAGCAACAGAAAATGAAAAAAAAAGACCGTTGACAGCAGTGTAAATACATATATATTATATATATATATAATAGCTGGTTATAGGTATTATACAACGGAATCAAATGACAACAACAGAATCATTCGTCGGTGTATGTGTCTATACGTGATTAGGTTTTAATAGGCTCCCCGTAAACTACTCCCCCCTCTTTTCACACGAAACCCGGGGGCAATTGGATCCGCTGATCAAACATGCTGCGTGCGCGGTGTTTATATATACAAGATGGTTTATTGGCTCGGGCCGTATATGATATTATATATTGAGTCACTGAAACAACAGATCGTGGTAAATCAAACTGAAAAATTGTGTCTCTATGTTACATAAATGTTTTTATTTTTTATTTATTACAATAGCCCTTTGAAGTTTTATGCCAATAAAAAAGACTCCGTCATGTATACTATTTATATTTATCGATGACCATTGAAGAATAAAATTATTTTTTCGACAACTTATTTATATAGGCGTTAGTTGTTAATTATTATACTTAGCGTCTTAGCAGTTAGCATTATAGTAAAATCATTATAAAAGATAAATTACGTGCCACAATAGTTATTACAATAAATTTCATTCTATATAATACAATAAAAATAATAGTATACAATTCGATTTGTGTAAAATAAACAAACATTTATTGATTTTTTTGAGCTAGGCCGAAATTCAGCCAACCTACATATGGGTTAAAAAACGAAGCTATCTAGGAATTTATTGGATGCACATTTTATGCCAATTGGTTCAGTAGTTCCCAAGTGATGGCACTTGGGAACTACATCTAAATAAATATTAATTGTTATATAATATAATTTACATAGAAGATGTACCTGCTGATATACCTATGATAAGTATTATACAATTTTAAATATAAGTATTACGCATATAAAAACAATTTATGATTAAAAAGTGTTTGCTTTGAATCAATAATAAATCTCAGTTTTAATGCGAATTAATTTATGATAAAAAACAAAGCGTGAATAGAATTAAGATCTTCAAATGTTGATTAAAATAGAAGCACGAGGAAAATATTTTCCTCACTTTTTCAAATTTGAGCCATTGGGACTAGGATTTTACAATATAAATACTTTTGAAATAACCGTAGGAAATCAATTTAATTATTTTAGACTGTTATAGCAACTATGTAAAAGTTATGTTTCATTATTAAATTATTAAATAGTCTAAAATATTCTCATCAATGTAAAAAGTTTATGTACATAATATGTTTATTTATAATTTTCTTTTACTTTAAACATTATTAGACAAATACATAGTGTTGGTAAAATTACATTTTATTTAGTTTTAGAATATTTAAGAGTTTAAGATCACTGTGCAATAGTATATCATTAGATAAAATACTGTATATCACTAATCTATTGATTATTATCAATCCGTACAACATAAAATATCAGTTCAAATGTTGAAAGTTAATAATTATGTAATTGCACAGACGTACATTCATTTTATTTTCATTTGATATTATTTAAAGCCATTATCAATTACCTACCTAATGTATATTAATATTATATTAATAACTAACTATAAGATGCATTCCACACGACACACATTAATCGCAAAACGTAATTGAACTTACATGAAACGCATCAGGGAAACCATAGGTACTAATAAAATAGTATATTCCTATAGGCAATAGGCTTAAACATCACACGACACACATTAGATGACTAATATTATTTTAAATGGTACATCGTACAATAAAATAAAATATACCTACAGGAAAGATACAAGTATACTTGATCTGGCGTTTTAATAAATAAGTAATTATTATTATAGTCAAATTATTGCACAGGAATTTAAAATAAAATAATATAATACGTTGCACATTTGCATTTATTGTAGATTTCCTACCATTTACGATAAGCGATAAAAGTTTGAAACAGAAAGTTGTGTAAACATTCCTCAAAATTAATACACACTGATAACAACAATAATATTAGTTGGTAATTAGACGTTTAATTTGCTGTATGGGATATTATTATAGGTACTTGGTACTTATTATAGATATTATATTATATTATAGTAGGTAGCTGATACAGTGATATGTAGTTGGTTTAAGGTTGCAGACATTATGTCTAGACTGATCAAGATAATCATTCATATGCCGCCTCCTAATTATATGGGAATGATAAAGTTGTATTTATATCATTAATTATTATTTTGTAGTAATTAATATTTGGTGTAACTTACGATAAGACATATTTAGAAAGACAGACTAGATATAAATATAAGCGAATATTACCAATACTATTAAATTCGTGATGAAAACATAAATAACTAATGTTTAATTTTTAAAATATAGAACTAATCTAATTGAAGTTATTATATATTTTAGAGATGCATTTTTAGTGTTTTCATTATTTTCGTTTTTATTTGTGTGATGATTAAGTACGTCTTAACATAAACGTATTGGGAATATTTTATAAAACTACAAGCATAACTTATCTGAACTGAAAATATAAAGGTTATATAATATTGTACTTATGGCTTAGGTATACATAGGTATATTATAAAAACAAATTATTACCATTTTTATATATTATTCTCTTTTTAATAAATTTTCATTGATCAATAAGTAATAACTTATAATATGGTGTTTACTGTAGTTTTACAGTTCAATTGATCTAGTATACAAATGACTAACAGAAAATTAATAAAATATTTGTACGATATTTTTAAGGATGACTTTAAGCATTGTTTATATATCTATATATTTATTTTGATTTACGATACAACCACTGTGCAATTAAAACGTCATATATTATATTTTGTTTTATCAACATTTAAAATCACTGATAAAGCTAAAATCGAAAAGCATCGATGTTTAGGAACGTATAATAATATACCTAATATTATTATTTCATTATCGCCTGGCGATAAACTGACGCTTCCTAACTTATCCAGGTCATATTATGATATTAAACAGCAGTCGATATTGTGTACATATATAGATAAAATCAAAATAATTTTTGAATACTTTTAAAAAACGTAAATACATTTTATAGTTGGGATTTTGACAACGCATATTAAGTTTAAATAGTAACCCGAATAAGTCGTGTAAATATATTTGTACAGTTCCCCGTTCTTATATCCTCGACCGCGTCGAGACTTATGAAAGTGCAGTATAATATATAATAGCATAATATTATCTATGTGTACTGTGTATAGGTATGAGTACCTGCATGTATATGAGCTTACTTATATTTAATAATAATATAATAATACTTGACAGCGACGTGTTTAAAAACGCGAAATCACCACTTACCGATTAAGGTCCTTCGGGTTGTTCGGGCGAATGTGCCTCAGCGCATACGACGGTTCCGTTGTTGACTTGCGCGGTTACGAATAATCCTGCTGAACCGCCGCCGAACCGATCATAATATATTATTATTGTATCGCGCACCGTTATTATACGTTTCCGCGCGGAATTCTCCGAGAACTCCGATTGTTATACTCGAAAAATAATGCCGACCGAAAATATTACGGTTATAATATTATGGCGTTGTGTCGACGTGACTGTCTCGCGATGTACGCGTGACCGTCCGAACTCGGAAAAATTGGAAAACCCCTCGCAAAAAACGACGACAAATCAAAAACCGTTGGCGCAGCGCAACACGACGCGACGTTTACACAGGTAGATGTGTGTATGCGAGTGCAGCGACCGTCGATCGCGGAGATCCTTGGTCGGATGGCGCCGATGGATCGGAGGCGATCAACCGATACGAGGAAGACCTGACGAGTTTGTGTGTGTGTGTGTGTGTGTAGGCACGTCGCGGTCTCGGCGGCGCGCGTGTTACAGTGTTCTCGCGTTTTTCCGCCGGGCGGTGCGTGCGCGATGCGTGTTCCGTGCGTATATGTATGTGAGCGCGCGCGCGTCGTACGGTTCGATCCACACGACTGCGTCTGTCTCGTCCGCGGTGGCGTCTCGGCGGCAATACTCGCGAGTCGCGACTCGGCGGCGGCGGCGGCGGCGGCGGCGGTCGCGCGCCCTACGCAGACTCCACCCCTCCGCCGACCGTCTGCCCCATCCGTTGCACCGCGAACCGGCCCGGTGGGCGGAGCGTCCTCCTATATTCGGCGTCGCCGGCAGTCGGATGCCCCCCTAACTCTCCCACCCCGGAAGAAGATCGGTGGTGGTTGTTGGTTTGCGGCGTTGGGTGCCGGCTGCGGGGATGATCGGTGGTGGGGTAGGAGTGCGAAGCGAACGAGGGGAGAGGGCGACGTCCCTGCCGAAGCCGAGCACTGTACGCCGCGGTGGTCTTCGTGCGCGCCGCCGCATTCTCGCCGTCTGTAAATTGTAATAATGTATAGGTAATAATAATATTATAATAATATGCGATGTGCACACTCGCGCGACGACCGATAAACGCCAAACGCGTTACATTTATTTCCCATCCATGTATGACCACATATGATAGTATTTTGATTTGATATCACCCATGTGCAGTGTCTATAGCGAACGACTTTCCTGCTTCTTCCTTTTTCCCAGGATGATAGGTACTCCAGTCTTTCTTCTGTGGGATTCCGCACTCTCGGGCAACGACGAGATAATCCTGCTGCAATAGCTACCCGCCTACATCTCCAATGTTTCTCCACTGTAACCCAGTTGATATAATATAATACACATAATGTTAAAATATGTTCCCATACTAGTGCATTGACTATTAAAATAAAATATGAATTGTAATTCAATAGAGTACAAATGTATGTATCAAACAGCTAGTATTGTAAAACTTGAAAAACAAAAAAAATCTATAAAACAGTATAAGTCAACCTTATAATATAGATCAACAATAAAAAAATCAAATTATACCTAAAATATATTTCGAGCGTCAAAAATGTATTTTTGTTGATTAAACAAATAATTCTTTAATTTATTTAAAATATTAGTTATTTTAATTTTGTATGAGTTCATAAGAAGAGCCAATGTGCCATTATAACACTATATATATGATAGTATAAATCACTTATGCCGTTAGATGAGTACTAAATTGATAACAACTTGAATCTATGACTTCTTAGGTAATTATAGGTACCTACTGTATGCAAGCGAACATTTTATTATTCTACACAAAAAAAAAAATTAATAAGAAAGTGTTAAATACTAATTTTTAATCGGAGGTTGGTAAACATCTTATGTTCAGGTAAATTATTCAATAGCTGTATAATATAAATTATAACTACCAATAAAACAAATTCTATATTTTCCCATAGTTAAAATATTTTTTACCCTAAATTAAAAAACAAAACATTAAGTAAAGAAAATTGTAAAGTTTTTGAAGAAGCTATTGACTGGTTTACGAAAGAAAAAAATCACCAGTAGATATTATATACCTATACATTATATTACTCGTATTATATTCCTACGGGCTACGATGCATAATGCGTATATATATTATGTAATATTTATTTCTCAGAAACCGTCGAAACCCTCATCGTTGATGAGAACATTTTATTAAAATGACCATTAAAAAGTTTTTGAGTCTGCCTAAGTATGCCATTATTTCCATAGGATTGAATTTTATTTATAAAAGCAAATACCTAATGCGATTTCATATTGTACTTTGTTTTATAAACGAATAGATTGTTTTCATAACAAAAAAAAGTTGTTTTATTGTTGGATCTGTCGAAGTTGATTTATTTGCGTTTTATATTTTTTTGTTAATCGCCTTTTATAGTTCTTTCATTTTATTTACGTTCTGCCAAAATAATCATAATATAATATAGTTCCACGAAATAATATTCTTAATTTTTATTTTCAAAGTACAATAATTCGTGATGAGTTATTTTTCAATATGATAAGTACGCACCAAAGTTTAAAATGATACAATATTGAAGTATTATTTCAATTATTGGAAAATGGAAATTGAAAAAATAGTCTTATTGAACAAAAAAATATACCTACTATTATATCTATATGTTTTATAAATGTACTATTTTTTTAAAATCATATAAGAACTAAAAGAAAAATAAAGAGGAATGTTTATGGAATGCGATGAAAAGCCGAAATTCTATACTATATTATTTTTTCTCTAAAAGGCTTAAAATGATTGATAAACGAAGACGTACTCTACATTAAATATTTTAGTAGGCATATGTGACAAACTATTAAACTATATGTTATTATTTATTTATTCAATTTATTATAATGAGTAGAGTGTAGACCAGAATATAAATTATGATAACAAATTTAATTTAAAGTGATAAACAGAACAATTTATTTAACGAATCATTTATTGATTTATTTCTATATATAATAGTAATAATAATAGCGAACTGATTAATTTTACTTCAGCGGGTTCGTATACAATAATGAAATTGTTAAAAGACGATGACCCCGCCCTAAACATATCATAACCATGTAGGTGGTAGATATACAGGTACCTAATGATAAAAAATTCATTAAGTCACATTTTTTATGTATACTTTTTATACAATATAATATATATCTATTTTTTGTATGCATCTATACGATCCACCACACTCTGGTCGTGGGTAACCGATACAACAGTTATGTTCGAAAAGACAATATACTAATATCGTTACCTGCACATAATAATATGTAATATTATAGTCGTTATATAGGTTCATTATAATAAACGAGTTGATGACACGTAACACGCTCTCGGCGACACCGAAATCCTCCTATATGCCAATGTTGCCGCTTGGACGCTGCAGCAGTATAGTGTATACTGTATACACCATAGGTACAATATATTATATGTTATGCATACGTGTATAATATGTGCCTATACTTATGTAGTTATGTATGTATATATAATACATTCGTATTAAACATGGTCCACACCACAAGAATTAACTGGAGCGTACACATGTTTAATATTATTACACACCTATAGCGGCTACCAATATTAAAACTATTTTTTTCTGTTTATTTGAACCAACATTTTTAGTGCATTATAATATTATTATGTGTGCTTATAAAAGTATAATAATAGTACACGACTGCAGCAGAGAGTATAGGAAAATATTGTCGACCAGCCAAAGTGTGTTAACCACGGTACATTTCCGACGGACAAATTATTCGGAACTCGTGAGTCGCGAGGAACGTATATAGGTATAATATACGCTAATATGCTAGATATTATAGTCTATATTATTATTTATTATTTATATACATATATTATAGTTTGAGATATTACTATACCTATTATATGCCTTCACTTTCTACTTTCGCCAAATCAGATTTTAACTATCTGAAAAAAAGATTTGTATACTTCGTCCTCGGTATATTCTATAATGTATAATATGTAACTTAAAAAAAAATAGTCTATGTATGATAATTACTATGATAATTACTTTTTTTAGTAAAATTAAATGGACTGAAAATTTTCCGTCACCTAAAGAAATATATATTATTGAAGGTATATTTAAAATATATTCCACAACTCTAAAATACAATTTGTCTAGTCTATAGTAATATTGTATGTGTCAACAAATGCAAGTGCTCTGTTTATAATTAAAAAAATAAAGTTATAATAGCATAGTATAATAAAATATATAAAATATAATATAATATCCAAATTATGCATTGGCATAAAATTATTATATAATATAGGACCTACGTCCTACAGCAATATATGTATATTATATCTATATATACCCTTATAGATACCCTTGTACACGAACCCGGATCTGATTTGAATACAAATAAAATATTTCGTATTAACTGTATAATATTAGATAATCAAATTAAATTAGCTAAATTCAAAACACATGAGTAAATTTCGTAGGTACCTATAGTTTAAACGCGTTTAATTGATGTTCACGGCCTGCAGGTAGCTGCATTTCATATACAGTAGGAACCAGCTGGCCAGGAAATATTGTTTGGACACCCCTAATGTAAACACTAAACGGCTTACTTCCAAGATATCTTCAACACGCACGTTTTCTACGACCCCGACATGTACCACATTAAAAGACCGTTAATTCTTAGTGAGAAACAAGGGGAAATACGTACCTTTTATGAAATGTATAATATATAATTGGCGTTTAACCGCCATTTTGACATTAAACATTTACACAGATGTGGTTGTAATATGCCTAACATATAGCATGTTTTTTTATTACGTTTTATAAATTTACCGACGTGATTATATTATATATTATATAATGATATATGCTATATGTCTACCTAGGTACAATCAACAACAAAGAATAAAATAAGATTTCTAAATACTGATGATACTATAAGTCTATAAGATGATTCATTACAATTAATTTTTAATTTCTAGTATCATATATTCATATAGTAAACATATGTTTTGTTTTTAAAATTGGCTAATTATTTGGACTGGTTTAGACGATTTAAATTATTTTAAATGCTTATATTATATTATTACATGTGTCATATCACACATGTAATAATTATGTGTTATATTATGTCTATACTATACGAATTGATTTTGCTTGAATTTTAATTTTAATATTATGTCCCAACGGCCAACATATTTGCATAGTGTGATTTGTGGTGCACTAATAAAAGAAAATAATAATAGTATATTAATATAGTAACTAGTTACAGTAATCCTTATCATACAACACGACATTTTCTAAAATATAATATAAATTATCTATTGTGTGGCTTATTATTACCTATGTCCTATATATAATACTAGCTGATCCCGTGCACTTCGTTGCCAGTTAAAAATGCCATCTCTGGCATCTCTGTATAAGAGACTTCTATAGTCAGTACGACCTTTCGAACAATATTTAGTCATTCCAGAATGATATTTCAGTAACTATTTATTAATAAAATTCAACGTTTTCATTATATCTAACCACACTGCATTTTGAAAATATTTTAAAAGTTACTGAAAAAATATTTCATCGGAAATATTATTGAATTATTGGTAAAACGTCTTGTGTATAATATTGTATGTATTTTGTATGTCTATTTTCTTATAACATTTTGACCAATA